TCATTAACAGTTAGTTGTTCAAGTAACTGCTAGGATACTTGCATCGACGCAGTGAATAACTATATTATGCCCCAGCATCACTACAATCTCATAACAAATCAATTCACGAGGAGCCCACTAGCAATTTTTTTTGGAAGAAATTATCATTTGAAATCGGTTTTAGACATTATACTTACTGATTCACAGCTGTTTTTGGTACAAATTTCATATAAAACCTCAGATGAAACAGCTGCTCGCGACATACTAACAAACAACATCCACAGAACAACATAAAGCAATTTTTTGCTGCCTCAAAAATCTTATGGTTAACCTAGCATAACCCCTGTGCTTTCCGATCGACAATATGGACACAACAATTGTTGGTCATCATAGCTAAAAAATGTATGATTTACGCACATTCACAGCTAAATGTAACAATGCACCTTTTTCGATAGTTTTTTAAATATGTCGTTAATGACTATCTGACACCGACTTTTCGACTATTTACGTCATATACTTTTCGACTACGTCATATACGTCATATAATAAAGATGAAAAAATTTCTTGTTCTGAACATAAAGTATTCGAAATATTATCAAGACGGGACAACTACAAGTAAAATTGACAACGGACCGAAAGTTTTTAAAATTTTGCATACCAAATAGTTTGATAGGAAAAATAACAGCAAATTAAAGCCTAAGGGTTAAATCTCCTCAACTACGACTGGCAATTTAAATACGAATTTCAAAATCATTTAGAAGAAGTCTATCTTGTTCATAAAATCACTGTAGGCTTCTACATAAATATAAAAGATTTAAATGTGAATGAATTAAAAAGTTTAGTATTAAAGTACTTAACAAGTATTTTCGAAAGAACACTCATATAAGGCATATACTTCCTACATATATCGAATCAGCCCAGTCAATATATAACATGTTAGTAGTAACAGCAAGCAATGTGACAGACTTTACACACCAAGAGCTTCCGCTTTGCTCCAGAAATTATTGCATTAATTTGCATCATGATATCAGTGACTAGGATAAATTTTCTTCGATTTTGCGGGTTACCACAGAATGCTTTTCTTTGAGGAACTGGTCTCCATTTTTTTCGATGTTTGGTGTGAAGTCATCATTCAGAGATATATTTAGTTCCTGTAATAACTTATTATGTATTTGAGCAGAGTACGAAACATCAACCAAACTATTGATTTCAAATTATTAAAGCAATTTTCTTAGCAAAATGAAACTCAGTGCGCAATTCAAGTAACAAATGGTACTTTTCACGTGACTGATCATCCAGTATTTCTTCACAAATATTATTTTAAAAAACAAAATAATAACTAAAAATTATCGGACTCGAATCACTACTTACTTCACTATGTTTCCTGCTCTTACTTGGAGAAGCTGGAATTGCTTCATCATATCTAAGAATTACATGTCCCTCTTGTCCAAATTGCAGAAAATTTCTAGTTACCAAGCAGTCTGGACAATCTTCACATATTTTTGAAATTTGAAGCGCACACTGTCTTTCCTGCAAAATATCTGATTTCGTTACATATAACAGAAGCTACACGCATGACAAGAATAATAATTTAGACTTTTCCAAGTCAAAACAGAAGATGAAGGAATGATGTCAGGGATACAAAAGAAGTGGAAATAAATAACATGCTGCTACATCAATATCTGAATACCCATTACGAACACGCAAATTACGAAAACCTGCACAATATTATCTATTATAATTTCAATGAAGTATTGCAACTCCGAAAGCCATCAGAAATCAAATCTATAAAGATAACAAAATTAATTAATTTACATATTGTTCCAAAGAATAGATGATTTGGTAGAATGGTCTGCAACATTTTTCGTATGGATATAAAGTCAACAAACAGCTGTTCAAATGTGGAATAAAATACACAGCCAATAATTTAACAGCCCTTTCGACGAACTATAATGAATCTATGACAGATCGATTATCAAGGACAAACTGAAGCTTTTCTTCGAAAATGATTATAAGTATAATGCAGTAAAAATAACTCAATTCCAATTTTCTCACACTTGATTTTCGATCAACCCAACATTGAAAATTTGAAACATAAATGCAGTTTTGATATTCTTCTAACGTTTTTGTTACTAGCATTCAGAAACTCAATTTATAAAAACTGAATCAATTTTACAATTTTTTCGACTCGTTTCTCCATTTCGCATAACCAACAAACAACCATTTTCAATGAATTTTCTAACGCGTTGACAACAGCATTAATCTGAAAATGAATATATTTTGATTAGAAACATCGATAGTCCATATTTACAGCAGTTTCATACTGAAATAACACTTACTTGTACTGGTGATAAACCACTTCGTAAATCGTTCAAAGCATCAATTAAAGAATTACCATAAACACATAAATCATCCCAATATGCAAGTACTGAAGGAGCCGAAGGTTGCGCACTCGACTGATTAACAAAAGAAAACGAAGGATCCGGTATTTTATCGTTGATCCTAATCAATTTATTTTGCGTTAGTCTAAAATATGATCTAAAATATCAAAAAATAAATACATCTTGTATGCCAAATATGAGTTAGCACTTAAAACATTTATATCAATTCTTTTTCCATGAAACATTGGTGAACAAACTTTTTGGAAAGTGTCTCAGAATGGTAATAAGCATGCCACCAATGAAATCAAATCCTGCTGTATTTAAAGCTTCAGAATAAAAACTCACTCCTTTGCAGCGGTTCTAACTCTCAAAGAGAATTTTTCTGCAATAATTTCTTCGAGAACCGATGTAATCAAAGGTCGGAAATCCATTCCCATCCGACCAAATGACAATGCAAAACTCATTAACTTTCTAATCAAAACACCACTATCGATATGTGTTTCATGTCCCATATTCCTGATATAATTTGGTTTTCACATCGGCACATATTTAAATTTTGGCAAAAATAGTTTCTAACTTACTTTATATAACTAAACATTGTGTTTAGATTATGAATTACCCATTCTGTCAGCACAGCAGATGGACCAGCTGTTTGCCAAATATCCCATCGAGGATCTGTCGATGACTAGAAACATTTGATTTCAATTCAAAATATTTGAACCCAAGTAATAATCTATATTTTCAAACTATGATATCACAGAAGAAAATAGAATTGCTTAGATTAAACAGTATTAAAATACTTACATCTCGTCTGGTTATTTCATTTTCTGGAAAAACAGCCAAATATAAAACCATAGTGTCATACATATAATCACGATAGATTTCAACGATTTTAAGGATAAAGTCGGACTGCGACTACATATAAAGTAAGGTGTAGCATTTTTAAATGGCATGGAATTTCTGGGATAATAAATGACAAACGACAAAGCGTTTCCATGAATCAAAAATTGAGGTTGTTAATATTAATCTCTTCTTAATATATTAATGAGCTAACTACTATTTTAATGAAATTTTTTTGATCATGATAATATTCTAATTACGCAGTGAATTTATATATTATGATGTCGTTGAATAGATAGTACGGATAAAATCTTCATGCTTAGTTCTTGACAAGCTTTTTTCTTCCAAATAATAAGTTTCTGCATTTTCAAAAAAATAACTGACCCTGACATCTATGAGTTGTTTTTCGAGGTAAGCATCACGATATTGCAAAATTGCAAGGTGCAATTGTGTTGATGATAGATATGGAATCTTCCGAATGTTATTAACAATTTGAATGCTTTTTGCCAATTCAATAGGTCCGGCAAATCTATTGAAGAGTTCATCGAGTAACTGATATCGAGCAGCAATTAATTTATCAGCAACTTTCTGGAAACGAGCAACCCGTATGAAGATTACAATAACTTTGATGTTGGTAAATTTGACAACGAAAATAGTACGTCCGTAAAAATAGTAACCAGCAGTCTCAAAGATGATAATGCTTATTTTTAGCAAAAATTTTTACAGCTTACAATTTTGACCAAAGCTTTATGCAGTTAAACTTATAAGTCGTAACATTATTAAAATATAAGAAAATAAATTTTGCACCAAATTCCAAATATCTAGAATATTTTGATCAGTGGTTTTAATTTTTAGGATTATATATTAATGCCTTAAGAATTTACAAATCCATTTTATAGCAGTTTTTCAAAAACCTTAAGTATAGGATTTCCTGTTAATCCATGTGTTTGCAACTGTGCTCCGTAATTGGTTAATGAATAAGCCATGTCATAATAACCAGCCCGAATACACATATCCATACGCTAAAAAAATAAAGTGTATGAGAAACCATAAAATTTAAAGAATAGACGAATATTACACAGCTCGTTTCTGATAAAAGAAAATAGCAAATGAAGCCCAAAAAAATAGTTTTTCTATATAGGAAAAATTCCGACTGCCTATATTATCAAATAAGCAACATATTTTAAGTCTATGACTGTTTACCAAATAATTTCCAAAACCTTGATGAGAAGCATAATGAACCTGGACTTTTTAAAAATAACCAAATTTGCAAGTTACAATACGAAGAACAACACTGTAAACTTACCGTTGGTAAACTTATCACGTCCCAAAGTTGTGAACCTTTACTTTCAGTGAGTTTCAGACAACAAAATTCATATGATATGTCATCACTTCTGGAACTGAACTGCTCCATAGCTTTCCGAACTAAACCAATCTCTTTCTCGATATCATCAACTAAATCAGTTGATTCTCCGAACTAAAAAAAAAATCTTAGCAGAAGAAATTTTGTTTTTATGGGTATTTTCTGTGCTGGTTCAAAAACGATTACACAGTTAAGCAAGTAAAAATTTTCCTTGAGCTTAAAGTTTTCTATATGGGAAAAATTCCGACTGCCTATATTATCAAACAAGCAGCATATTTTGTCAACTGCCCATTTTCCGGCATCGTTCCGTGGTACTGCCAGCATCAGCATAAATTCGATAATTTCCGTAAGCTAAATCGCTAATTTGCTGTTGAACATGAAGCAGCTGCAAAGAAGTGCTTTCCCTCTTTTGCTCTGCAATAAAAAAAGGTATGTTGTAATATTTATTTATTTCCTTTCGAGACTTGTGGTATGAATGAATAACAGTGTTATGTTGAGCCTTTGACTGACAAACAACAAACAATCCAATAATAACTTTAAACTACAGTTTAACTGAATTTTCACTGCTTTCAATTACTAATTTAATAGCAAATCTAAAAACGATTTGCGAAACACTTAAAAAAAATTGCAATGTTTTCTGACTTAGATGCAAACCATATCACGAAACTACTACATTCTTCAAGGTGAAAGAGCATGAAGTCAGTATAATTTAAGAAATTTACACATGAGAGACAATATGAAATATTCGGTGAATTATACAGGTTTACCAGCAAGCAGTAGTAATACTTAGTAAAAATCAGAGTCTATTCTAGAACAATATGACTTTCTATTACTAAAAAGAAATTTGTTCTAAGTCTCTGGAATAAAGCTCCAAGTCAAAAAAGCTATAGAAAAACTTACGAAGTTGTGCAGCACTAAGTGAGCGTAATTTATTATCCATGTAATAAGCCATTATTTCGATTTTTTACTGCAGCAAATGTAAAACATACAATATGATAAAGAGCTTGTCTCTGGGAACGAAACTATAAAAAGTAGAGGGATAAAACTGCATAGATAAAATTTGATTAAGAAGAATGATCGAGTAATCATAGAAAATGGTGAGATGCATGAATTGCACAATAACCATGAAATTATTTGTCAACAAAATAAAAAGGGAACCATGGAACCATCGATGCACGAAGGAATCATAATTGGTTTTGGGCTAGCATTGTACAAGCAGAGGGTTCAGTGCTAAATTTAGTCGTTACAGGAATCAGAGAGTAAAGTTACGTAAGCATTCTAAGTAAGGTGTAGGAATACTTGGTGATGTGAACATAACTTAAAATACATCATTATTATATAGCTCCAAGAGATAAGGAATGTGAAACGCCATCGAAAAATGTTGAGTTTGGATGTGAGCTGTGACGGTTTCAATTAGCGTGAATACAGTAACCGATTTGTTAGTTTCATGTTACTTCTTGAAGTATTTCTTCTTTTTTCATATGAGTTGTGCATGGATTTTTCATTTATTTATAACTTTCCAATTATAGTTTTTCAAGCTTATAATTTTATTGCGTATAACCTGAGATGTCAAGAAAATCACCTAGGTAATTGAATATATATAAGACATTGATGTATGCATTTCCCGATCTTTTTATTTTTTGAAAATATTAATGATCCATAGGATCATTAGTATAGGATCATTAATATTTTCAAGAATTAATAAGATTTTCAAGAATTAATAAGATTTTCAAGAATTAATAAGATTTTCAAAATTTCCAAAAAAAAGGGCGAATTCGTGAAGCAAACGGAAATTTATGGGTTAATATACTTTTGATGGGATCATTCTCATTATCTGCTTCACATCTGTTTTTAATTGATGTGGGCAGGATTCAGAGAAAAGAAATTCAAGTGATGACATTACCGAAATCATGAACAGCATTTTACTCGGAAAGGGAACAACTCTTTGTGACTTAGATCAGTTTTTGTGGAAAACTAATAAAAAATTATTGTCTTACAACTGTGTTTGCAGCATGCAGTTTCTATTTACAGATGTTGGAAGTTAAATTAATCTCTAAATATGCCTTTCTCAGAAATGCCATGCAGCCAATATTTTTTCGAGAAACTTGCCATTACTTACGTTATAACTCCGTAGAACATAAAGTGCAGATGACGTGTAATAGAAAGTTCGCATATTCTTGCATTGTTTTTAGGACATAATTAAGGGTGAAGTTTTAGAGCTTGTGTTACTAAATTCCAAATAATATATGGAATTAAGTAGTATGAGACAGATGTGATGTGGATGTAATGGTATATGTTAGATTTTGAATGCAGTACTTGATCATACACTTTATTGAATAGGATTGGAGTAATTGTTTCCATGAGTTTTTACAGTTTTATTTTCAGACCATTTTATTTTAACGCGCAGACAAAGGAGACAAGTTGGGAAATGTCAGTTTTTGATGGTGCACAATTTCATTTTCAGCTACAGCAGTTTAGTATGAAACAGCAGAGTAACACAAATACTGAGGAAAGGTAAAGATTAATTTTGTTTATGGCTACCTTTGATGATAATCCTAATTCCTTTCTAATTGTTACTGTAACTCATGAGTGTTGATCAGTCATTTCTGGAATGTATGGAAGAAGGATGTTACGCAGATAGACCTGACATTAATTTGCGAGAAACTGTTGTTTCCAAGTTTGTATTTAATAATGTTACTAGCAAGTGGTCTAGGTTACTTCACTAAATTCTGTTATCAGAACTTACTGAATTTATTGGTTGTTTTAATTGAAAGGTGTAATTATTTGTTTTTTTAAATATCAAATACTTGAAGTTATAATCAGATCAGAAATATCGTTATTCAACTTTTTGCAGATTATTGCACAGTGGGAAAGTTAATAAAGGAAGAAATTGAAATCCTTTTATTTGATATTTTATGTATAGACATTCTTGTCTTAACTTTGTATTGGAACATTAAAAGTGCATAGGAAATAGGAAGTTTCAAAACAGAAATGTATTTAGTGATAAATCATGATTCTCTGTGTTAAATTTTATTGTGTGTTTGTTGAGCTCGGTTCTGGTGGTAAATTATTAGTGACTTTAATGTGCATTGAAGCCTAAATACGTGGAAAGCAGACTCTGCAAAAGCATCAAATGGTTTCCAACGTTTAAGTCATTCAAGTGCAATGAATATCAGTCACCTAGATGAAGAAATGATGGAGATAGATGAATTCCCGTTGGACGGTTGGTTATCAGCAATTGATATAATATATCACAGTGTAGGATTGCATTTCTCATTCTTTCGATTTTTTTTTTGAGTGGTTTGTCTGAATTATACATGCTTGAAGATCGATGCTTTGCTCCCAATCTAAGTTAGTTCATTACTTGTGTATTTATTTTTGAAGTTGAGAGTTATTTTTAAGGTATATAATAACTTTTTGATCAGCTTTTTTCATTTAAGATATTGCTTTACCAATAGTTTGTATAGGTTTGATTTGTGTATAATCTCATTCATTTGTAGAGAGACTTCAAGAGTCTGAGCCTATGGAGGTTGATGCTGTAGTCGAGGAAGTACAGGCTTACCGTCGGGAAAATTTCTTGTATCCTGATCAGGTTAATGATTTAAAAAAAAGGATGAATAGTACCATCAACAACAGTGTTTCATTTTTTTCTGATTAGTAAGCTAATTTTAAAAAGTAGCTCAGACACATATTGCTCATTTTTTGAAATAGTTTGGCCTAGCGGTCATAATCATTGGAGTGATTTTTATGTTACCACTTACTCTTTTCTATTTGCTTTTTATCTTTCCATTGTTTTCAATTTTATAGACTAACTTACCGGATTTCTCTATCACAAACAGTGCGGTCTGTGAATCGAGTAATGTTGGAGTAACAGTAGTTGTTGTGTTCGATACTAGCTGTCTTCTTCAAGATACATCGTTACTTCCAGCTTGCATTAATAGTGTGTTTTCTGGCATATTAAACTCCTTTTTTTTGTAGAAGAAAATCGTATAAAAAGAATTATGTGAGGAATACTTTGCTAGGTTTTTTTAATATTTTCAGGAAATTATCATGCAGTCATTCCTTACACAGTGTTAAGGGAACTAGATGGCTTGAAAAAGGCGGTAAGATTTCAAAAGAATAAGACAAAATTTATTATAATCAATAAAATACTACTACAGTTGTTAAATCAGAGACTGCCACTGTATACATTTATTTTTAGTAGTATATACTCTTTTCTATCAGTAGCGAAGTTTCCATTTACTTCCTTCCATTTAGTCTCTTTTTTTTCGAAATAAATATATAGAGTTGCAACGAACTACGATCGAAGGCTATAAAAACAAACGCATATCTTCATCAATGTGTAAAACGTGCATGCAGGTATTTGCATGTAGAAGATATGTTCGAGGTTTGTTATATCTTCAAATTCGTTAGTTATTTGATATGTGCATGTATTTAGTCACGATTTTAATGCATTCCATCATTTAATGTATCTTTGTTTCTTATACACCATCAAGTGCAGTTTTTGGTTTATTTTTGACTAGGCTTTCGATGGAATGGAAGAATTTGCCTGTAGAAGTAATGATGATGTAATTTTAAAATGCGCGTACTTGATGACCAAAAAATGTAAGATATTTCATATATGCTTTTTGTGTATCAGTAACTAAATGTTCATTTACTTCACTCTATTTATTCTCTTTTTTCAATAAATATATAGGGCAATCCTAATTTACGATCGAAGGCTTTTCTTTCATTTTTACGCTTGTTATGGTTCTAATTAAAAATATATTTACTCAGTATCTTAAGAAAGCTTTTAAACGGAAGTGTTCTTTCAGATCAAAATAAGCCGGCAAATGTACTCTTTGCTACAAATGACAAGAATCTAACAGTAAAAGCAGTAGCACACAGGGTCGTTACAGCTGATAGACAAGTATTTCTTTATTACGTAATAGAGTTATATAAGTTTTGAGGGTGATTAATGGTCATTGTGCAAATAAAGAGGCTGTTTTCGTTACTCTATATTGACTTTTTAACATTTTTTAGTCCAATGATTGTTTGTTTTTTTATTTATTTTTCTACTGTAATAGATTTTGCTAATTTCTTTTAAATTATATTACTCACTACCTTATTTCATTTGCGCACTTGTTCTTTTTTAGGAGTTATTGCATTTGCTGACGACGGATCAGTTTACAAATGCAAACAAAGTACCGAGTCCTGTTCATAAAATCTCTCCTTCAGATTTTTCATTTGTTGTCAATAAATCTTTGAGCGCTGAAAGAAAAATTATAGGAACGCCATTAAGAAAAGATACAAGTGGTTCTTTTTCTTCCACTTATAGTCGTTCACCATTACCATCATTTAGTTTTTCATTTCAAGAAACACGGAACTCTTTGCACTCTAATACACGAAAATTGCCAGTTATCACTAACGAGTCCTTAAGAAATATTTCGAATACCTCTTGTTATCAGAAAGGTCATCGAGAAGTACTGAGAACATCAGTATATCACGATAGGAAGTATCCAACTTTTACTTTTCACCGTGACAAAGGGGATGCACAGGTGAGATATCTGAAGGCGATTAATATCCAAGTTATGATTTATGCCAGCTTGAGACTTTTAAAGTAATAGTTTGAGTTTTTTAACTGGAGAGTCAGTTACATAAGATTGAGCTGTTGCAATTTTGGAAGTTAATGGTTGAATATGGGTAAATTAAAGACTCGCAAATCTGAATATTAATTTTAAAAAGTAACATTACAACTAAAATATGTAAGTATTCGCTCAACTTATGTCATATCGCGTATGAGAAAACATGAATCATTAAGTTTTGATTTTGAAATTGTTTTAAATAAGCAAATGATCCTTCAATCAAAATACTACAATTCCCAAGCTTTTAGCTGTGTATGTCTTGCTATTTCGCTTTAATTCAGTGGTTTGTTGCATCATTTTCTTTGTCTTCCTATGAAAGATAAAAAGGAAGATGTAGGGATTATTTCAAGATATAGATATTATCACTTGAATCGGATTACTGAGCTGCGTTCTGTAAAAAACGTGCGGGGAAAATCAGTCATATAGTGTATGTGTGGTATTAACAGTGGTTGCTCACTGTTTTAGATATATTGTTGTATAGGACTAAGCTGCACTTTTCTTAAGGCTGTCGTCACTGTCAATGAGATTAATTTTCGTTTCATTTTCTGTTTTTAAAGAAAAAGGCTGCATATCATTTTTTTCTACAGGAATTATCTGCACTTTCCGCAAAGCTGTCATCACTGTAAAGGAAAACCCATTTTTGTGCTCGCGAAGTTGATAAGAAGCCGGTTTTTTAAAATTATAATTTGTCAAAGATGAAGTTTTGAATTGCAATGTACTTGCTCTGAAGTATTTTAAATTTGAGACTTGTGAAATCTGTGCGCATTCATTTGTGTGCATTTTAGATCGTTTTATATCTTACTACTCACTTATTACGATTTTTATGTTTTCTTACGAAGATATTGGGGATTAGGAACTGAAAATCTCGTATTTTATATTAGTTTGGAAAGTGACTGGTATCCATTATCTAGTGAAAATATTCTAGAAGTATGTGTATATTCTTTGTATTCATTTTGTTCAATTTGTTAGGGTTTTGTTGATCATTTTTTCTTGTTACAAGTGATGGAAAACGAAAAACAGCTGAAATTCCAAAGCTTATCGACAAAATCGTGTACGGATATCAGTAACTTTTCAAGGTCATTCAGTTGCAATGTAATTTGTGGTAATAGAATTACGAGTGACGTAGCTTTGTTGTGAGTGGTAGATGTATATTTATCTCTCATATCCTCAATGTTATATGAGTTATGAGTTGCTCTGTATTCTCCTGTGTGCCTTGTGTTTTATAGCAATTTAACTATCATGTTTACAGCATTTCATTCGCAATAAAGGTGTTTTATCGTATGAAGGTGAATAAAAAAAATTTCGAAGGTTATGAACAATGGTATTGGATTGGGAAGAAAGTAGCGTGGAAGGGGGTTTTGTCACTTAATCTTCAGTTTCGTTAAATTTGAAACTCACAGCTCTGACCTTAAATCTTTGGGTGAATTAGTTGCAATGCCATCTTTAAGAAACTCTTCAGTTAAATCTGTCGCAAAGATTAGTTCCGAAATCAGATAGATGTTTCTGGAGTAATTTCTCGAACAAGTCTTCCGGAATTAGTTGCTCGATCCATTTACTGCTCCATAGTATAGTAAAGGATTCATTGTGATTAGCGTTAATTTTCGGAGTGTACAAAAATGTGCAAAGAAATATTTTTAGTTGTTTTTCGGTCTTTACCATCGACTATTCTACAAAATAGTGCTATAAAACATTTTATCAGATTTAGGAAGAGATGAAGCACAAATGCATCTGAAATGGATATTTTGTAATTACAATTTATTTGTGGAGAATGCTCTGACATTTTGCAATGCTAGCCAAGATTTATAGACGAGCGTGCTGTTTTGCAGTTAGTCTTGAAACTATGAAACAGAAAGCTTGTCTACAAGAAAAATTTTTCTGGTTAATGTCCAGAGGCAGTGATTCATCCAAACATCTTTTATCTCTTCTTTGAAACTTGAACGATATTACCTGTAGTATGCTGATGATTTTTTGCTTAAAAATAGAAATACTATTATGTAAACAAATACCGTATGTCTTGAAGAGTGACTGATTTCTATATTTGAATAAGAAGTGAGGTGTCTGTAGTTGGCAACTCTGAGTGTTGTAAGGGTGAATAGACGTGTTATTCAATTATGGCTGCATTCTCAAGTAAAGGTGTCGCTGCATTAACTAGTACTAGAAGAATTTTGTAGAATGCATTTTTTTCACCTTTGGGAGCATTTGTTTAGTAATGCATGAAATTCATTTAATTACTTTCTTGACTTTTTATGCATAAACATATCTGAGGGGTATTTTCAATGCTTAGACAATGGTATACGCGTTGCAGATGCCTATTTTGCACATCGTAAAGAAATGCCACTGAAAAATCGGCTGCTGTAAAAATATAACTGTGAACTGCTTTTGTAATATTTTGAAAACTAATAATGACAGTTTTTGGTAGTAGACTGCTAGTTTTCTGCAGGTCATGGTAAACTTGACATTTTGAAACGTAAGGTGCAAAACGTAAAAAAGAAGAATCTCGGCCCATCTTCAGACACGAGCAGCTTTTTAAACCCCTCATTGAATGCTATTAATCGTCGTTCATCTTTATGTGAAGTATGTCCCTCGCCTGCGAAATCGCCGGGCCGCAACTCGATGGTAGACTTCAGTCGGAATGGACTGATAACACCTCCAGCTGCAGTTCCAATTTTCGGTCAGCTGACTTGATTTCATCACTTTTTTTTTACATATATATTATATAATAATTGAATCGATTGTCATGGTGTAAGAAGAAAACTAGTCGTCAAAATTTAGAAAGTCATACTATTACCAGTTGCTCAAAAACTAACAAATAAAGAGACTTGTTCCAAATTACATACTATCAGAAAACACTGTAGGAGATGACAGTACGTCGTTCGATTCAAGAAGTACTTGGATAACACTGAATAGAAATTCGTCATCTAACTCGTTAACTTGTGAGAGACATGGAAGGTTAGAATCTCCAGTTGCTTCTCGCGCGCATAGCATCATATCATCTGGCTTTGGCTCAACAAGCTCAACTATTACCAACAGTCTGGATCGCGCATCTGTATGTTATGAATATATATATTGTTGCTGATAACAATATATATAAAGTTGTGGGCATTTTGAACTCATTCAATGCACTAATTAGTGAAGCATAATGTAACACGACATAATTCAGCGCTAAGTAAGCTTTACAATATTTTAGTATTTTAATTTCAGATTGCACACACTCTTTCTTGTGAACAACTGTTAAGCAAAATGAATGATCTACGTTTGGAACTGGCACAGAAAGATGCAAAAATTAGTGATTTACATGATTATATTGGGAAGTTGCTGGCGAGAATCATAGAAAAAGATCCAGAAATATTAGAAATTGAATCACCTGCTGGTATTTTCTCCAACAATACTTGACTGATTATTCCTTCTCATTAAAATTTTTTTTGCTTCTAAACAGTCTAACTTGCAGCAGCGTTGTCTTTCTGACTTCATTCCATACTCTGTGATTAGCGTAATGTGTAAGACCACTTTGCACCAGAAATAGGATACAACTTGTAGACTCAAAGGGTACTTCTCTCCACACAGATGCCGCAATGCTGTCTCGCAACATCGAAATGCTGCTGCAGCACATCGCAAGTACTCGTTTAATTTTCGTAACACATACAGTACATACTTAAATGAATTTGTCATTCTGCATGTATCTATCTACAAATGCCTTCGTAGAAAATGTCTTCATTCTGCTTTGTTTGCGAAATCATGTATCTTAGATGTAATGAAGTATAGACATGTTGTATTCATGTATAAAATTCATACTGCATTGAATTTCGTCTGCCATCGTGTACAGTTTCCGCATTTCTCATCAGATTACAAAAAAGGGCTCACAGCTCTAATAGTGATAAAAATAATGCTCTTGTACTGTTTCAATTCGTGACCTTGCGAGAGCAGCTAAATGATTAGCAGCAAGAGATGGTTTGAAGAATACTGAACACCTTACATTATGTGATTATTTTTTAAACACAATAGTATCATTCAAATCACTTTGAAAAAACCATGACTACTCACTTAAAGGGGTCCTAGGTTAGCAGGCCTTACAATCAGAGATATCGTTGTGTGACACGAAATATGATAAGCACTCTCTAAACTTTTAATACTGCGGTAATTTTTATTAACTGATATTAGTGCATAAAAGTAACGAATTAGACTGATAATGCTATGTGGAGATCAAATCACTACAGGCTCTTACTCCGTGTTTAACGTGTCTTAACAGTGTGAGTACCGACGTGTGTGGTTGAGAGTTCACGCTCGATAAGTTAGGCTTAAAATGAGAAGAGCACTGTATGTATGTATGTATGTATGCATGCACGCATGCACGCATATTACTCTAACTTCTTTGGACACTCGCCAGAAAGCG